TCGTTCTCTGAGTAAACACACATCGCAAAATGTCTTTGTCTCACGCCATTTTTTAGCAGGTTTGTTACGCTGTTGAGCGAGCTGCTATGTTTAATGGCATAATATGAAATTTAGTTCGAAATTTCTCCTCGAAGCCTCAACAGCTATTAACAAGATTCTCTAATGAAACACAATTACAAAGGACAGTGTTTCCCTAATAATTTGAATAGAAATCAAATTAGCACACCACTTGCATAACTATTAGTTTGTTTCACTCGTTGGGGGTTAAAAGATGAATTTCAGCGGGAGTCATGAATGCAAGTAATTAAAATCAGATAAATCATAAATTGTGATTTTGAAGAGTATGCTGTTAACTTGTTAATTCTATAAAAAAGTATTTAAAATTTTTAAATCTGATAAGTGCTTTAACATGTTTGTCTAAATTAGTTGATTCTTAATCATCGCGTTTTTTTATTCTTCGCTAATTAATTAGGCGAAGGAATTTTTTTTTCTTTTTCTTTCGCAAAATTATAATACTATAATTAATAGCTGTGCTGCCGGGCGGAGCGTTTTCTAAATAATGAGGCAAAGTATCGTTATCTTTGATTGATCTTTCTAATGTAAGCTGACATGCTAAGGGGATTCCTAGGGCTAATGATCGGAGCTATGGAGTCATCAGCTTTTGATGATATTTTTTTTCTCCTCCATCTGTATGATTCTTTCCTTTTTACTTCTCCACCTAATGTCGAACCATGAGTTTTGTTTTTGTGTAATGTGAGAAAGTTGTAGTTTCTAGAGAGCATCTTGTAGAGTCATTAGGTTATTTTGGAAGCAGGAAGTGTGAAAAATGTGCAATGCCCTCACGGGGATTCGAACCTGAACCTCTCGAATAAGCGCCGAGTGTGCTACCGTTACACCACGAAGGCATACAAAAAGGAGGGAGAAAATACCTTATAATCTAAGAAGTTAAGCATCACCTCTTACAGTAGAATCCTAAAATTTTTTCAGCTTCTGATTGCTGGACATTTTTATTTAGAAATTTTTATGGTATTTTTTTTTTCGTGTGCACTCTTTCAATAAGAGAGTCACTACGAGCCGTCGGGGTTTTTTTTAAATTTCAGTTCAATTTATAGACATAGTTATCTTTCCAAACTTTTAGACTGTCTAAATTCCAATCGTCAGTTTTGGTACGTCTGCCTGAAGGATTTTGTATTATCATACTATCATATTTAAACGTATTAGAAAAATTATTTAAAAAAATTTTCTTCATTCTTGTATCATGAACATTACATCAGAGACTTTATCGTGAACCAAAGACACCAAAAATCAATTTTGAAGAATAAACAAAAAAATCGTACACTTGTTGGTCATTTTTCAGGATTGTTCTGTATTATGGCTTGTTGGTCTTAACATGCTCATAGCCAAGTTTTCGATTTCGCACCTTATTTCAGAATTCTTAGTATACCAGGAAACAAAAGTTTGGTTTTATAATCTGTTTCAGCTTTGTCATAAAACAGGCCAGATATTATGGAAGATTTCTTCATAATACGGGTCCACCAGCGGCCGAGTGATAAGAGCGCTGAATATAAGACAACTCATTCGCCGTTTCAAATCCCGGCGAATGGGCTGTCTCCTTGGGAGTTTTATAATAGTTTTTCCAATGTGTAACTTCAATATGAGTCAATTTCCCTTAGAAGGTCTCCCTAAAGGCATCCTCTCTTTAGGTAGATATGTCTTCTTGTGCTTTGCCTTAATCCTACTATCGAAAAATTTTGTTTGAGAAGAATTAAAAATTTATATATGTGCATTTAAGCACGTTGCTAAGGCGCTGAGAACTGGATCTTGTTGAGTAGATAAAAAACATCACAAGTAATATGAGTAACGTTTTATTTGATATTAAGTAAATCATTAAGATGAATGTTTGAAACACTTCAAGATAGCTTCATAGTTAATCCTGCAAACAGAGTTATAAAATAACTAATAGCTGGAGCTGACTGTAGTTGCCCAATGGTAGATAGATGTGATTTATTAAATTAATGCGAAGTATAAAAAGGGATGTTTATTTAATGGATAGAATATCTTCGTGGAGGACTTTCTAAGGTAAGCTGGCATCATGTTCACATCATAAATAGGAAAAGCCGCCAAAACTGTTATGCAGCCAGCCCGTTCGTTGGAATTTGAAGTCAGGTCGAATTACCTGTATTTAATCGTAGCAATGCCCGAGTTCGGCTTAGAGAACTAATTTTATAAGTACTTTAACGACTACTCTGTCATGTTTCGTTACGATATATATATATATATATATTATAATTTGAAAACTTATTCATGTACCATCTCCAGTGAACACAAATTCAATTAAAATCATAAATTATTATAAAAAAAATAATTAGTCAATATTTTAATTATATTTTAAAATAGTGTTTTTAGACCTCTTTTGTGATAAACTAGTAATGATAATTACAGTAAAATGGTAGGCTTATTAATTTGCTCATAATTACTTTTATTTAGAATATATATATATAATGTGGTATGATCTTAAATGCATTTAGTGCGAAAACAAGTTACTACTACTTGCGCAATTGCTGCAAAGTAAGTTAATAATAATTTATTTCCTAAACAATATTGATTAATTGATTATATTATCTCCTAAGTTTAATTAAAGTAGAAATATTTTAAAAGAGTGAATCCATACTAGTAAGTTATATTTTGAAAGATGTTTTGAAGTAACTTGAAAGTAAAAGGTTAAATCATCATGAAGAACAAAATTTCAATTGTAAAAGGAAAAATTAAATTAAATGCATGTAATCATTGTCATTGATCGGAAATTATAGTTGACTTTTCAAGGGAAACAAACCAACTCCCGTTCAATGAACAATAATTAAAAAATAAATACGTAAATACGAAGGTGTTACGTCTTTACTCGAGTAATAAGGTCAAGCCAAACCGGCAATTCTAGTCAGGCCAAATATTTCCGCGAATAGAAGGGATTATGAACCAATGCTGATACTCAAAGAACTTATTCCTATGAAGCATTTTAGCTATTCAATTCTGTATATATATATTATAATGAAACACTAATTGTAATGAAAATAAATGATGTTAAAATGAGTAAACATTAGTTATTTAATAAAAACTTATAGAAAATTAAGATTTCTGTTCTTTTGATATAGTCAGAAGAAGGGAATATTTTTTCTCCAAGTTCATGCTTTGTTAACTTTACTATGAAATTTTCCTAGAATATGCAAGGAAAACTATTACGAACTCCGAAAGACAGGAGAGGTAGTCTGTGATGTTGGTTTCACCGTACGGATGCGTGTTTGCGGGAAAGAAGTTTTACAGGTTTTGCTGTGTCTAGGTTTGAAAGCTAAACAAGTGGTTCACAAATTTCTGAAATTTATTTTAGTAAAATAAAACTTTTCTTTTAAACTAATAATATTTAGGAAGGAAGGTCTAAAGAAAGAAGCGCATAGCTTTTCGATTTAATTTTCTTGCTTGAAAACCTGTGATACTTTTTCTAGTAATCTGAAATGACGGTTCATTTTCCTTAGGGACTTTTTATAAAAACTCAAAACTTAATTGTTCACTTAGATATATTTTTTAGGAACTGAAAGCCAAAATAATGATATCTGTTAGATATTTTGAATACTGATCTAATACGTCGAATTTTTTGAACGAATTGCAAATGCTGGAGGAAGCAGAGTAATGATTGACTAATTATTTAAATTTTGAGATTAAACATATGAATAGAGCTTATGCTTGTTTTATACCATTTATTTAAAAAATACTAATGCTGTTAAAAAATTATAAAATGTTTTCAAAATAGGGTTCTCTTTCTGATATAAAACGAATACTTTATGGTATTTCTGGGTTCATATAAATTAAGAATTAAAAAAAAAAAAAAAAAAAACTATCTATCTGTAACATTTCGAAATGTGATGCAACTATGTTCGATTGCTGTTTTTATAATGTAAAGTGAAAAATAGTTAACATTTATGAATTCTACCATTATTTTTATAATAATATATAAATTAATGAGAGTTTCTTAGCTTCGACAGTCGTACCTTAAAAAAAAATATTTACAGTATTTTGTGAAAGAAGGTATTGTTTAATTGATTGTATAAATTTGAATTATAAACTTACTAATTTTTCATATGTAATCGCTTTAATTTTTAATACGAGTCTTCGTATACAGATGTTTGTGATAATATTCGTACCTATTTCAGCAGCTTCCATATCGACTTATTTTGAAATGCAAAACTAACAACAAACAATCCTTTCTTAACTACTGCGCTGTCATTTCAGCTTTCCTCTGTGAGTGGTGGACTCAGACTCCACCCAGAAACATCCAAGAAACCAATAATCCGCTGCTGGTGGAGCATCCATTGCAGGATGCCCAGGGTAGGTGCGCCATGGTCTCCCGCCATCCTTCCATTGCCGAGGGCAAATTTTCCGCGTTTCCATACGCGCGGCCATATTGTCTCTCTTCTGTCCAGAGCAGTTATGTTGTCCTCCTATAAAATGAGTGGCGGTTGCATTTTGTGCAATTCTTTGTGCGTGCTCGAGAGTCTGTACCATGCCGGTACAACGTGGTTATCTGGAATTTCATAGTCTTCAGTTGTGGACGCTTGCTGCCAAATCATCCGCCGTACCTGCCTGGAAATCTGTGTGATCTATCAAAAGACTTTTCTTTACTTATCTCTTATCTTTTTCATCCTTTGAGATTTAATCTTGCTCTTCCTGAAGTTCTCTCCACTTAAAAGATCAGAAATTTGAGTGGGTGCACAAGTGTCACTTGAGAAGTCCTTTCATATATTTGAGTTATTTTCTCTAAATTGAAAAGTCAAAGTTCTGATGTTTCTTGTTTCTGTAACTAGAAATCATTCATATTTATTCCTTGTTAATAAGTTGTAGCAATTATTGGTTAATAATTTTTAATTTCACGTCTAATTTTTTTATTTGTCCTTGTTTATTTATTTATTTTTCGTTTTTTAAATTGGATAGGAATTGGAATTATTGTTCTTTTTTATTAGTATATTTTCTAAAGGGAAATGAAGAAATATTAAACGCTAAAAATTTAACTGCGGATCGTATCTTAAATGGTTGTGAATTCTGTTATATATAGTACATATTTTCTGCTCAAGATGTTTTACCACACTTGTAAATAAGTATATTCTGTCTTAATACTGAAAAAGGTTATATCTGTGAATCGAGTCTTCCATTATGAAACTTTAAAACTGAGCGATTTTAGGTCTTTAGTAGTCTGATAGAATGCACTGATATTTTGCTTCGATTTGAACTTTTACATATTCAAGATGTTTTGTGAAATCGTTCTAGCATTTCTAATATTTAGCCAGTTGTTTACTGCAATGTCGCATGTAGTTTATAAAGTTCATCATTATATTTGAACTTGCAGTTCAGCACCGTATTGAGTGTTAAATAGTGTCACTTTTGCCATCGCTTTTATTTCGTATGGGACATTTTAGCAGTCTTGTGCATTTAATTTTAGACAAACTTGGATAATCGTGTGAATGTAAACATTTTGTATCTGTCATTATCTTTGGATAAATGAACTGCATAGGAAAGTTATGAAAACAAAAGTGCAGAAACATTAAAAGTGATCTCAAAAAACAAGAATTTATTCCAGTTGTGCGCTACTACAAGCAAGGAACTGTGTAATCTAATTACGCAAAGAGGAAAGAAACATCTATCATGATTTTGTAAAGAATATATGATACTAACGACGAAGTCTTCCATTGTTGTCGCCTTATATGTAAGAATTTTTTCAACTTACGCCGTTCAGATGCCTTCAAGTTTTACATATCGCTAGATCAAGGTCAAAAGAAAAGTCTTCCATTTCAGCTTTTAAAGTGAATCTCCGCTCAACGTTACCGTTGTATATGATTCTGCAGCTATTCATTGTGCAGATTTGAGAGCAGGGCATTTTTATTATGTAATTGTTTGTATGCATATATTGAAGTTATTACATCGCTTCGTTACGGGACTTTAAAGATTCGTTAAAGTTTTGTGCAAAAACAGCTCTGAGATTGAGCTTCATAAGTCTTCCAAGTATTTGCTCATATTTATTATTTTAACCGCATTTGTTATATTTATGAGAACAAGAAAGTTTCCTTTCATCTTTTAAAAATTGATAACTTTGCAAAGTTTTACAAATCTTTTCGACGTGATGAGGAGCTCTAAGAAGCACCAGGCACGTAATGAGTTGCATTTCATATCTGCTCCTGCTGTGGTCCAGGGATCTACGTCCATGTCCAGAGCGAGGAGTCGGAATTTAGCTCCTGTTGACGATAAAGTACTGTTTGAGAGGCTTTGGAAAGGAACTTTTCGAGCCATTGTCGCCGCCAGTCTTCAAGCGAGGGATAAGGAAAGCAATGCAATATCCTCGCGCAAGAGTACACTGAGAAGTGTTATCAGGTTTGTATAGATTTTCAGCATGAAAAAGAAAAATTAGAAATCTACGTATTTTTATCAAAAACATTAGTTGAGTATCTTTAACTCATATACTTGTCATACTTATGTACGTGAAATATTTTTAACACTTTGATTGTAGTTCCTTTCCTAGCGTGTTTTCAACCAATTCTGATTTTTGACTCAACATTTTGTGAACCTTTTGCATTCTTCCACATTAAAGTTACGCTAAACTGAAATTCATGGATATTATTTAGGGTGTAATTCTGCACTTTGGCTGACAAAGGACCAGCATCAAAATTTGCAAAATTTGAGATTTTTGAACTAGTCATGTCAAAATTATGCGTATCATCACAGAAAAAAGGGGCCATTCCGAAGAGACTAGTGGAAATGCTCATTAAGATTTTTTTAAAGGACAAGTGTAGTAATGAAAGCGATATATTCATTAGAGTAAAAAATAACTTCATATCCTTTCAAGTATGAGAAAAACGTTAGCGCTTTCTAAAATACTCATTTCAGTTCAACATATGTAATTAAAAAACTAGTCAAATCTAAAATTATTTTTCCTAAGAACTTGCGAGTCGGGAATTGACTTCTTTTAAAGTCAAATTATAGAATTTTCTTCATTTTAATGCAGTGTACGTGTTATTTTGTTAAATACTTAGTATGCTTTGCTGATAGTGATTTTGTAATTTTTGGGAGAACTCATGATGTCACACTCTGTAGGTGACTTTCAGATGTGAAGGATCAGTATGGAAAATAAAGTATCTTCTTCACTAGGAAAGTTCCTAAATTTCCTCACAGAACTAAATGTTTCAGATCTCAAGTGTAGAGAAAATTAATTTTCATTTTGTTTAACCTTTTCTGTACCTTTTCCTCTTTTGACCCAGCCCTTAAGCAAAATTTTGTATGGAGATTATGTGGGAATTTTGAATTTTATGATCTTAACATGGCTTTAATGCAGTGTCTCTTTCTAACATTTACGTTATTAAAATTAGTAATTTTTAAAACTTTATTATCCTCGACTGGAAATTCGCTACATTGGAAATAAGTTACAAGTTATTTTGTTCTATTTTCAAAATTTGAACCTCGCAAATTTTTTAAATTCAAAAACTTCTAACTTCGCTTTCTAATGTTTTATCATTCTACTTCAAAATTAAATATTGCTTTGGAGCGACAAATAATTAATTTCCAGAGAACTTACACATTTAAGCATCTTTTCAATATTGTTTAAATATGCGCACGAGTTATAAACATGTGTTCTAAAAAACAGATAAAAATGTGTTTTTAACGTCTATCTTGATTCCATAGGTAAGTTAAAATAATGATTTGATTACACATATATAACAGTATTTGACATCCTTGAGATCTCGTATATAGCTGGAATTTAAGGCTACAAAACTTGAAATTTATTCTATAGAGATTATTAAACATTTCGGAGCAAGAAATGCGGAAAACAGTGCCCTAGTCTGATTTCGAACCTTAGATCTTCCAACTGCCAACGTGACGGTAATTACTTCAGCGTTAGACGACGCCTAGAGGGATGCGATAATTCCTAACATTTCTTCCAGAATTCAATCAAAGTATTATCTCTAAATTATTTTTTAGTTCGAAAATAAGGTATTTTCTCTATAGCAGATCAAATCAGAAACTGAATATTATTTCTTATTATACTCAGTCAAATGAGTAACTGAGTTACTGTAATTTGTAATCATTTTAAGTTCTGCGGTTTGTTAAGTGAACTGGCTGTCGCTTCCATTGCCATAATTAGTTGATCAATCAACTAAAATCACTTCAGTTTAAGGAAAGGGGGTTTTATCGACGGAAGAAGCTTCGTGGAACGATTGTGGGATTTTCAATAATGTCTAAATAAAATCATGAACAAAAAGTCAAATCATGTGCATTATCAATGGGCTATTTAACATGGAAGATAAATTTGAATTAATAAAATTACTGCAGAAAATTCTGTATAATGAAATAAAAAGAAGGCTTGATTTTTCCAAACCTGCTGCATTCTTTCTATCAAAACCTGAATTATGTTACGAAGAGAGCAGCGAATATTAAGTTACTGTTGTACATTTTGCAGTAAGCAGAATATCTTGTAATCGAGATCAAATTCCAGATTCAAATACCAGCCATATATAATGTTTACTTTCTTCCACATGCAATCAAATACTGTGCTCAAATAAATGTACAGCATGCTGTGCAAAATGTCTTCCATAATATATTGAACTCTTTTTCCGTGCACTTCTTCCAAAGCTTTCGTTGGAGATTGCTGCTTTTTAAAAGTATTTGGGCTACTGTTTCTAAAATTGATAGTATTAAATTATTTATATATATGCTAATGGACCTCAAATGGAAAAATTCGGAGTTAGCAAAAACAAAACTTATGAACAACTTGTCCACTTTTTACAACTCTGAACTACGGTATTCACCAATTTTTAGCATTATCTTATTTCATTTAGGTTAGGTTTCCCATTTTCTCCCATTGAAATTAATAACGACTATCTGTTTTTTTCCCATGGTTAGTGACTAGTATGAACTGGTTTCATGCTTACTGACAGATATGATTGACTAGTTAGTGACTGATATATGTTGATATAAATATAGATTTTTAGATTCCAGACGGATTTTAAAAATAAATCACGTATACATTTTCGAGTGGCGGTTTCGAATATTATGGAAAGATACGTACCATTTAAAAAATCATTTCTGTAGAGTGCTTTTGAAAAGAAATTATATAGCCTGTAAGTTCCGTGTGAGGAAAACCACAAAAACACCCACGCAATTAATGAGAAATATTACAAAATTATCCAGGCAGCTAGCCTCTTCTGCTGAAGAACACCTTTTATGTGTAGTAAGACCTAAAACTTAAAAAAAAAAAAAAAAAAAAGTGCTTTAATATAGCATTAAAATATATATTGCGACATCGGGATTGAAGCTGTAAGTGTTTATTAATGCTCGAATTTGGCGGAAACATTTTTCGTATCAGTTAAGGTTATTCGACTCCAGTATTGCTCGTTACTCGGAAGTCTAATTCAAATTTGATGTAGTGATAATTTAAAAGCTGTTGCTTCTGATAATATCTTGGACTTGGGCTTAAGTTTGATCCCCCCCCCGAAAACAGTGTCATTGTTGTGCTGATTGCTTCGAACAGCATCGAGACATGTATGTTGCATCAGATTTCTAGGAAAGGGTGATAGCCGGATGCTGAATGAATAAAAGCCTAGGCGCCAAATTCCTGTAAAAGATAGAATTTTATAGTGTCTCCAAAGACTATAAAATAGTTCATCTTTATTGCTTTTATACGAATCTTCTTAATAAGAATAGCAATTAAATTATTTTTAGAAGAATGTAGGGGAATACTACACTCTTTTAAATAATGTATTGCAAATACCAGCATGTTAATGCATAATCATACTTAAACGCTGGATTGGCGTAAATGAGAATTAGTCCCCCTACCCCGAAAAAAGGGGGAACTGAGATTAGCCTTGATGTAAAATAAAGGCAAGGAGATGAAACTTGCAGATTAGCATTAATAAAACTCTGCTTTGTGTGAGTTTATTTGACTTCAATGCCATCGTTTTCTCCCCCCCACCCGAAATTTGCATTTGAATATTGACGTGTATCTTTTCGCATACATCTTTTTTATGTCTCTTCTAATCTGGTGTACTCTCCTTTGTTATGCATTCCGTTTTCAGTGAATATTAATTTTAGATGACTGTATGTTTATCAAATTATCTGCTTAGCATTAGTTTTAGGTAGGATGATTCCGGTTGCTCAAATGATTAATTTTTACATTGTGCGTATAAATATTTTCTTCCTTTTCTCATGTTTCCTACGTGACAGAATTCCACATTCCAAAAATTCTTTTTTAAGCAAATAGTAATGAATTGATAACTGGTAAAAAACTTAAACTGATAAAAAAAATGGATAAAGTTGAATGTATAATTGATTGAATGTTTTTAATCAGTAATTTAAATTTTCACTTTTAATCAGATCATAAAAACTATAAGCAAAGACGTTCATCTGCCATCATTCATCTTTTTAAATAGAAGTAATGAAGTGCCAAATACAACTTATTAGCTTGTTACTTTTAAATAGTTTTGGAAGCTGGTTTTTTATCTGGCTTAAATGAAAAACTTATAAATTTCTTTATTTTTTATAATTAAACTCCGGATCGAATGTGGTAACTAAATTGTGCAATTTAAAAATGTCCAGTAGACATATTTTTCCTTTGACAGTCATTACGTTCAGGAATAATTAACAGAACTAATAAAAAATTAAATCAAACTGTGCTGATGAGCTAATGTGTTTTGTATTACTAAAAAATTAGCTGAAGAAAAATAAAATCTGTTGAAATGGCCTTACTGAATTTTCCTGGACGCAAAGTGACAGAAAATGCGCAGTTCGTCTCTCAGCATCCGTTGGACGCTGTTGCTATGCAGCGCGGAGAGTGGCTGAATATTAGCAGGGGGGATGAACATGGGAGATCTTCAATTGATCAAAATTATCCGTCGTGTGAGTCAGACATAAAACTGCTTTCGCTTTCCTATTTCTTTCCCTTCCAGGGTAAAGCTAATTATATTCCGGCAGGGTGTCCTTCTAAACCCCCCTTTTTTATCCCTCCCCTTAAAAGAGGGATCGGATGTTTATGTGGATCCGTGATTGCGGGACCTTAACTGGCTAGCTTTGAATGCATTTGACTCACGCGAGCGAGAGGACGATGAATTGCCGTCCAAATCGTGTGCACCCAGGATTGCAGTGTACGATGACGAAGGGTAGTTTTTGAATGATGCAATTAAAAAATCACTGTCCTATCTAACTCGGTGTTTCCTAAACTTTTTAGCCTCACGACTCGAATGAGTGTAATTTCTCTGAAAAGAAGTAAGGGGAAAAGTGATTCCTAGAAGAAAACTGTGCAGTAGTGAAGGAATGATAAATAAATGAGTGGGAAGGATTTGGGGGAAAATAACTATAAATAAATCTATATTAATAATTAATTG